AGGTTTAGAACTAAGAGAAATTAAGGTCGGATTCGCCGTTGCCGTGGCCTCAAATGAGCTACGGCGATGTTTTGCATTGTCTCAGGAGTAGTTCTGGCGATTTATCTGTATTATCGGCTGTTTCAAAGGTAGCGGAAAGAGTTATCTTTGATCAGTTATATGAGTTTTCTCTTGACTTTCTCAGCGGGAATTTGTCTGGTTTCTTGAAAGGACACTCATGTACGACAGCCCTTCTCAAGACATTCGAAGACATTAGAAAAAAATTAGACTCTAGCGAACACTCTGCAGCAATTACCATAGATCTCTCCAAAGCATTTGACTCTATCAATCATGATTTGCTTCTTGCAAAGCTGTCAGCTTATGGTGTAACTAAAGACGCCTTATAACTTCTACGTTCTTACTTGACTGACCGTAAGCAACATGTCAAGACTGACGGTATTTTGTCGGATTGGCAAATTATGAGGTGTGGAGTTCCTCAAGGCTCAATCTTGGGCCCCCTTCTCTTCAATATATATATATGAACGATGTGAATTTTTCAGATATTTCGTGCTCTTTAAGATTTTATGCCGATGACACTACTGGGTACTCTTCAAACCTTTGTCCATCTACCTTGCAAATAAATCTAAAAAACAACGTTGGTCTACTCACTTCCTGGTTTTGTGAGAACTTTCTGGCGATCAATCATAGTAAATCTCAATCCATTGTTTTCAACGAGCAACTTTACCAACGCCCTTTGTTATTGACAGTAATGAACTGGATTACGTTACACATATCAAGCTTCATGGAGTAGTCATCAACAATCCACTCTCTTTCAACATACACATTAAAGAAGTTTGCCAGAAAGTGAACACAAAAGTTTCAATTCTCCGTCGCATTCGTAAATTTATACCCTCAGATGTGATGATTAAATTGTACAAAGCTTTCGTTCTCCCTTACTTCGAATATGCATCACCACTGTTTATAGGTCTAAGTAAGGGTCCGTCTGCGAAACTGGAGTCAACCAACGCATTCGCTCTGAGGACTCTTCTCAATTATTCTAAATCGACTGCTTACAAAGAGTTATTGAAAACTGCAAACATTAAAAGTGTAGAACATCGACACATAGAACAAGCACTTATACTTGTATATAAAAGTATTCATAACCAGACACCAAACTACATTCAGGAAATGTTTTCTCTGCGAAGTAATGGTTACAGCCTACATGGCCATCTTAAGGTTGTTCTTCCAAGACCAACCTCATCTTATATGCAACATTCTTTTACATACCAGGCTAGCAAACAATGGAACAATCTGACAGACAAAATAAGGATGTCAGAATCCCTTTCTATATTTAGGAAAAATTTGCAAAACATACAGTTGTCCTCATCGTATGACTGCAGCTGTTTGTTTTGTAAACAAATAGTCTAGTCACCAATATTACCTTTTATTAAATTATTGATTACTTTAATAGCAATTATTCATTCTAGATAATTAATTTTTATTTCTTACCTATTACTTATTACTTATACATGTCAATTTTTATACATGTCAATTTTTTATGGCACATTTGCATTTAAACAAGCTATTCGCTCATATGCGATATGTGGTTAAATAAAGTTACTTACTTACTTAAATTTCACGGCGGAGAAGTTTAAGTCCCATAAGAATCTTAAAGCTCATGGTTACTCTGTTTCAAGGAAAATTGGGTCGACTAAAAACTTTACAGTAAACTTCAACCCAGACATATACGCAGCACTAAAAGCCTAAGACCTGTTAAGCTTGGATCCAAGTGAGAATCTCATCTTCCTTGCCCTTAGTATCACAAAGGAGGGTGGGGATCATAGATATATAACAGCGTAATATGTGACTAACACAATCTATAGACTGTACAAAATTATGCTACAAATAGACACTGCGGTTTATTAAAAGCAGGGTACGGTTCTTCTATGCTTTTCTTGAATGTGCTTTTGTGGTATAGTCATGGTGTATATGCTGTTTGAGGAAGTTGTTTACTCTAATGCTGTAGTTCAGTCTTGGGGAGTCATGCAGTCAAGATGCTGCTTTGATCTGACATTCTGAGTTGAGGAAAAACAGCTGCCTCTGCCAGCAAGGCTTGTAGTTAATTTTACCCCAGCTAATACTTGAACATGAAAAAAACTGTGTCAGACCTTAACAACCACAAGGACTAAATGCACAAATGTTATGAAAGGGGTTTTTTTATTGGGGAATCCCCTCTCAAAAGTCATGCAGTACATCTGTTGTGCTCAATTAAGTATGAATTTTTCATTCACTTTGCTCACATAGGGACATTTTTATTTTTATTTTTTTGTTCAATAGCAATAAAAATTATGGATTAATCATAATATGGCTGGTCAGTTGGAAATAAGGACTATTTTTAACAAGGGTCAGATCTGAAATCTGAATTGAGGAAATTACATGTGTATGTTAGTTTTAAAACAGATAAGGGTGCAAAGCGTGATGCAAGATTGCTGTATGTAACTTAAGGCCTAAGAAAAAAGAATTATTAATCTCCATGTCAGTGGATTACCTCACCACTTTAAATATTCATCACTATGCACCAGTGAAAAATTGTTAATTGGCATATGTATACATAAGTGAATCGTGCTGATTGGGCTGATTGGCTAGTTCAGAAGAGAATAGCTAGTACTATTCACAAAGCAGACAGTATCGTTGGTATGTATACAGCCGTTTGCAGAAAAGTTGTCCTAAAAAAGAAGAGGGTGCATGTAACAATCTCAAAAGATAATCTGACTATCCGGTAATCAATGAATTCTAATAAGTGGAACAAATTAATATGTTCAAAAAGACTAATGAACAATGGATAAATACTGACATGCACATGAATATGTTGTTGTGTACTTTGCGAAATCTTGTACGTTTGCGATGAATTATCGGAATGCGTGACGCTTTCAATTCGGGAAAAGTGTCACGTCACGCATTCCGATAATTCATCCCAAACGTACAAGATTTCGCAAAGTACACAACGAAGATTTTCCTTTGGCACTTTTCCTGGTTGTTATAAATTGCTGTAATCCACATTTATAGTGAATTGATCGGTTGATTCTTCCCGCCGGTGGCCATAGTTTTGCGCACTTTTTGTTTGCAAATTACAGATATTTCGAGTTTATTTCGCAAATTACATATTTCAATTTTGTTTCGTTTGGTGTTATTCGTAAATTAAAGAAAGTGTAACAGAGTGAACTAAGACTTGTGTGACTTAGAACTGCGTGACGATATAGTCATTTGCTTAAAGAATTTTTGTAGGATTTCGTAACTTTAGTCTTTGTAATGGAAGCCCTTGAGGTTTCGTGTCACAGTTGTTCTGAGATTTCTGCTTCTGTCTCGTGAACTCCGAGTCGTACGAACTGTAAAGTTCATTCACAGTTCTACTGAGATTTTTGCTTCTGTCTCGTGTACTCTGAGTCGTACGAACTGTAAAGTTCATTTACAATTCTACTGAGATTTTTGCTTCTGTCTCGTGTACTTCGAGTCGCACAAACAGTAGAGCGCATTTACAGAAAATAAACGCCGATGGGTTTTAAGAGGGATTCGAGATTCTTGATGAACTCACTGCCACATAAGCTCTCGCTACGAACCAGCAGGAAAAAAAGCAATGGTTAAATTATGTAAACAAGAGCTCTAGAACGTCAGGTCTTCTGCTTCTTTCCGGCGACCTTCTTGCATAGATCGATCAGTTCTGCCTTTTTCTTTCCTTTTCTGCTTTCACTTAAGTGATTGCCTCTCTCCCACATTGAATTTCGAGAAATTTTCGCCCATTTTCACTACCACAACTCTTCATTCTTGACACCGACCAATCTCGAGCCCAGGGTCATTTTAGCTCCTTGTCAGTGATATGGTCGCCAAATTCCTTGGTAAATCATGTATGGGAAATTATTATAGGACATTATATGGACATAATATGTATTGTGGATAATAATTCCCCATGACCATACCACTCACGAGGAGCTAAAATGACCCCGGGCTCGAGAAGGCAACTTCGCACCAAGCCTCGTTCTTGTGCTTGGATCGCGAGAACTAGAAAATGGCCCTCTGGTTAGCCTCAACATCACATCAGTGACGTCACAACGTCAACATGCAGAAGTGTCAGCACAATAATATCATTCCCTTGAACTCTTTATTTGGCAATATCATCATTTAGAGTTAGGTCAATCCGTGTTGGAGAATCTTGACCTTGGTCGCCTGTAAAGATTTCTCGGAGTAATTGCGGAATGCCCTGCCACTTTGATCCACCTCATTTACATGTGTCGTGTGGCTTTCAAGAACGAGGCATAGCACAATAGAATCTATTCTTATTCAATGACATGTAATTGAGTAGCAGGTTATTCTGCAGTTAGCCGAATCGTGGCTTCAGCACCCGTAAGATTTGTTACGGCGTTGTAGTAAACTGAACATGAAGAAGCACAAGTAATTGTTTCTGTATCCGTTGTTTAATAAGTTGCACATATCGCTGCTAAGCTCTTTTCTTTGTCTCCACATTTCGTGAGTTTTTAGAATAGTCAATTTGAACGTAAGGAATGATCTTGGTGAAAATGATACGAGTCGGGTCTACCTAAAGAACAAATCACAACTTCAGTAAAATTGTCGAAATAAGTATGCACTCAAGCAGGGCGCTGGTCAATCCTCTGTGCTGTGTTTAGAACAAGGTTGTTTTTAAAAAGATAGTTGTGCGCCTTACCATGACGAGCGATGCAAACTAATTATAAGGAGCTCGGCGTCCACGGGCAAGGTTACTACCACCATTTAACCACCTCTGTTGTTTCGGAGCATCCATAGTAACCTAAAAAAGAAACTTTATCATCCACACTCCATGCAACACAGCGAGGTTTAACCACTAATGAAAATAGCAACTGAGCAACACGCTTTTCTCAACAGGGTTAGAAACATTCCCACGATGCATTGCCAGAAACATTGATTTGACTTGAAGTTATCCGACCAAAAAATTAAGAACTATGGCTAGAGTCAGTGAGGATCTTGTCAGGTCGGATCTTGTCAGGTCGGATCTTTACGACTACGCTCCTGCCTCAAACTTACTATTGAACGAGAAGGTGAAAGAGCTTATGGCATCTGGAAAGCCAGTATATCATCTAGCGTTCGGTCAGTCACCTTTTCCAGTAATGGAGTCAGCTCGCTTGGTTCTCGCACAGAACGCCGAGAAGAATGCTTACCTTCCCGTGGCTGGAATCTCGCAGCTGAGGAACGCCATCTGTGAATTTCATCGAGAATTTGACGGTTTTGAAGTTTTGCCAGACAACGTTATTGTTGGACCAGGCTCTAAGGAACTGATCTTCCTCCTCCTCGCGGTTTTCAGTGGTGATGTCTTTGTTTTGTCTCCTACGTGGACAACATTCAAGCCCCAAGCTCGCCTTGCGCACCACGATGCCATAGTTATTACAACTGAGTATCGGCACGACTGGCGGGTCACTCCGGATATATTAGATCGAGCTCTTAGCCGATCATCCGCGAAAAACAAAATCATCGTTTTGGTCAACCCCGATAATCCTACGGGAACTGCTTACACTCAGGAACACTGGAAAGAATTACTGCCGGTGCTTAGAAAACACAATGCCATCGTACTGTCCGATGAGATTTATGGACGCTTGAACTTTGCAGACTCTCACTGTTCATTGGTAAAGTTTTATCCAGAAGGAACCATTCTGAGTTCAGGTTTGTCTAAGTGGGCCAGTGCAGGTGGTTGGAGGGTAGGCTATCAGATCTACCCAGCTCAATTGAGACCCTTGTTAGATGCTGTCAAAAGTGCTGCAAGCCATTCTTACTCATGTGCGGCTGCACCCATGCAGTATGCTGCTGTAACTTGCTTTACTCCATCCAAAGAGTCAAAAGCTTACATAGCCCATGAATGCCGCATCCTGGCAGCCATAGCTGATTATAGTTATCAGCACCTTACAGAAGTAGGGGTGAGAGCTGTGAAACCTCAGGGTGGCTTCTACATGTTCCCTGATTTTGAAGTCATCAGATGTGCACTTTCCAATCGGGGTATCACCACTGCACAGCAAATGTGTGATGCAATCTTTGAAGAGGTGTCAGTCGCACTCATGCCTGGAGGTCCAGCATTCCTTAGACCTTCAACAGAACTTACTGTTCGCATGTGTTTTGTTAATTTTGATGGTAGTGTTGCATTGAAGGCCAGTATGGCCATTGGACTTCACAACCCACTTCCTGAAGGATTTGTGGAGGAACACTGTGTGCTGACAGTAGGTGGAATCCAGGTTCTCAAACAATGGATTCTTAATCAAAAGGCTAGTGTTTCTCATGACTTGTAAAGCCTTTCTAACTAAAATAAGTTTGGTATGGAGTCCTTCATTATAACCTTCCTTTTTAAAGTACAACTCTATTATCAAAGCAAGTGTTCAGTGCTTAAAAAAAAATTTTGAAACATACCATTTTCTTTTTTAGCAATTTTGTTTAGCAAGCTGAACATGATTGACAAAAAACTTTTTTGCCCCTTCTTTGGGACATTTTTCTGTTCAATTTAGCATACTGGACTGACATGCACAGTTCCTAGAGCTTGTGCAGTTCCTGAATAAACCCTATCAGGAATACTGCCTCTCCAGGGACAGTGTGGCCTATTTTCAATGTGAAGGTTATGAAAGTAAAGGAAATTATTACCATTCAAGAAGTTCCTGACTGTCCTTGTCAGTGCAGTAGGAAATGTAAAACAACAGTGTGGAGGTTATGAATACTGTGTTATGGTGTTAAGTGTTAAGAATGAAAATCCAGACCTTTCAACTAAAGTTCAGGATATTCTAATATTAATGCTGGACTCAAAAGTCCACTGTGTGGCACAGTGTTTCACCGTATCAAATTAATTTTCCCTGAAGGTGTTCGTCCCACAGTACATAACAAAGTTTCTGAGATCAGACATCTTACAAGGTGGGAGGGGTGGAAGGCTGATGTTAATCAGTGCACCTCAGATTTTTAAGAGGCTTTAGTAAGGAATCTTGACTTCAGGCCCATAAAATAATGATAGTGGTTGTAATAGTGAGTGTGATGATTATTGAAATAGTAGTAATGATAATGATAAGAAAAATTTTAATATGCAATGACAGTATTAAAACTGTAATTCTTTACTATTAGTGCTCTTGCCCACAGTTTTACTTTTTAAGTGAGTTCATCATTTGCTAGGAATTGGGAGGGATATTTCAACACAGAATTTATTTATTAATGGATAGATTTCTCAATGTAGCTAGCTTTTTTCACAAGCATGGATCAAAAGGCTGAGTGCCCAATGATTTTTGCCTGACATGAAGTGATTATTACTATAATAGTACAAGTCCATCATTGGGTGTTGAGCAGCAGATTATGTCCCTGGTTCAGGTTGAGGAGAAATACTGTGGAAATAAAGCCTCCAACCTAAGAACACAGTAAATTGACCTCAGCTTGGCTAAAAGTCGTGCATTTTACTTTAAACCCAGTGTAACAGTCACAAGAATACCCTTATCCCATAAAAGAGATTTTGAATTCATGCGGCTATAAAAGATGCATGGTTTGCTTTCAATCTGTACCTATCCTTATTTTATATCAGTATAACTGCTTGTTTGATTTCAGAGATGCACTTGCTCTGATTGTTTGAGGATTGCACTATATCATGCTTCAATTACTTAGTTCAAAGTGATCATAGTGCAACAGCACAAGTACATCTTAATACTATCAAAAATAGATTTTAAATGCATGCAACTGTTTTAGGATCTGGTTATATGATGTACATGCAAACTGCACTTAAGTTAACTTCACTTGAATTAGATCAATTTTCAATTTAGTGTTGAAAGTAAACCCAGGTTGCATAGGTTTTGCCTTGCTCAACTTGGTGACTGGTCTAGTAAACTTGCATCACTTATTCTCAATAATAAAAGAATAAAGCAGGGGCATTTTCAGACTGAACTGGCCTTTACTGTCTTTATTTTAGAAGATTAACCCATAAAACTCTCTTTCAAATGTACATTGACACATTCACTACATGTTGTCCGGTTAAATTCAGTTTTTGGTTCTGTCATGTGCAGTTCACAGATTGAACATGTGGTCTACTCACCAGAATCCACATGTTCATTTCCTTGGTGTGTCACAAATTGGAAGCAAAGAAAGAGAATGTTTTTCCTATCACAACACTTATTTGCCTCAGGCTCGGTGAACATTGTTAAATAATTAGTGGGGGTTTCAGCTAACTTTTGTTAAATATTAAAACCCATACACCACAGGTTGTCCTCCTGTTGTCCATGCGCACTGTGTGTCCCCCTTAAGAACGAATTAAGTGTGATACCATCCTCTGCATATCATTTGGCCACATATGTCTGTGCGAGTTCTCGTGTCTGAAATAATTTTCAAATTTTCCAACACAAGGTAGTGCCATAAGTTTAGCCTTTTTTACAAGTTTCAACTATTTTTTACCCTTTTAAAACTTTTTATCATTTTATTTTGCAACAAGATATCGTATGTGATTTTTATCTTATGAAATTTAAGACTATTACCACTACTTATGAGACATGGTAATGACATCAATAAAAAGTAATATTTCAAGAAAAAGATAAGTACAAAAAAATAATAATTCCAAAAAACATAGAAAAAGCTTCAGGTATCCTTTACAGTTAACCGATTCTCTTCAGCAGCAGCCTTCATCACAACATGGAATGTGTTACCTGCAACTCAAAAATTAGTTTTTTGTCCCAAGTCCATCAGCCAGGCTAACAACAGGGACTTCCCACAACAGTGGACCTTTTACAGGTAGGCATAGGATTAGTCTGACCAGTAAGAGTTGGATATCAAGGCATATTGGAACAAGAAAATTAAATTCAATCAATCATTCGATGAGCTTTAGCTGTTTCTACAGCCTACCTTTCACTTTAAATCGAAGGAAATTGTAACGATTAGTAGCTCCAGGTTTGTATCAAAAACCCCCCCCCCCCTTTTTTTTTTGTTACTCGAAAGATAATATTTAAAGCTAAGTATAGGCTGTAAAGCGTAGTTTTTGAGGGCAAATTCGCATGTTAAAGGTGAAAAATATTTGAAAGATTTCTAGTAAATCTTGAAATGTATTGGTGTTCTTTACGATCGCTCTGAAAACTTCCAGAGAGTCTTAGACTAAATACATACATACCCAATTGCGTGATTGTTACAGGCTTTACATGAAGTGAAATGGTGCCTAAAACTTAAGAAAATAAACTCTTTCTTGCGATATGTTTTTTTCCTCTTGAATGTTCCATCACTTCCAAACGTCTTTCATTTCGAGACCCACTCCTTCCTTAATTTCCGTCTCCACGTAGAGGTTCCGCCATTGAGAGGTGTCGCTAAAACTCAGATCTGCGGAAAGATTTAAGAAAATTGCGGAGTTCTTGATTAAAATATAGAATAGAGCTTGCATATTCCTTGAAAGGTCAGTAAATTAACCTTTGACTGGGGTAAAAGCGCCTTATTTGACAGTATAAATAGTCATATTTTCACCAAAATGATCAATTTTGGTACCTCGTGGAGCTCTTTCCGGTGGCTCCACCCACGTCTAGCTGTATGAGCCCGCACATTCTTGTACCTCCGGTTCTCCATATGCTAATGAGAGTGCCATCGCATCCTGACATGTAGTACGTTCGAGTATACGCGAGGTAGTCTGGCTTCATTTCTAGATCTGTAGATTACGGACATTTCTTGAAGTCTCGTTGTATTGATTGTTAAAATGACCTGGGGTTTAGAGCTTTGGGTAAGTGATCAAGGGCTTGAGTGCTCGCTTGTCTTGTCGCAGCTTGTGTTCTGGTATTATCCGACATCAGTGATTCAACTGCGCGATATTCAACATTCTCCTGCGATGAGACTAACACTTGCACATTTTCTCTATGGTTTCTAGGATCAATTTGATCTCATTGCCAACCATACGTCTTCTGGAATCGATTTCGTGGAAAAGGTAGCGAAGTTCGTGAAGGAAAGGTGTGAAATCGAATCGCGGTATGCGAGGGACTTACGGTAAGAGAGAAAGGAATTTCATTTTACGAAATCGAAATTCTTTATATGTCGTAACAGAATGACTGGTATATTGTCCTTGTACCATCAAATTATTACTTGACTCCGTTGGAGCTTAAGTGTAAAATATGTGTAAACAATTTGGCATTTTTGGTGAGTTTCATGTGGATCTCTTCTATGCTGCTCTGAGCATGTTTCCTAACAGACAGCTGATTGGTGTCATTCTTTATAATAATCATATACGCTCAAATTTTTCTTCCGCGCTTGCATGACTGTTCTTACTGCGTGTCGCTGTCCTTGAGAAATACTATCCGTGTTTCTACTTTCGCTGATTAGAACATACTTTTAATTCAGGATCAAGGAGACCATCTGTTAAATTGCAGGGATCGAAACAGAAAACCATATTTATGACGTTTATTGATTATTTGCCGTAGTTTAGAACGACAAACTTATGATTTTCAATAATCGAATTTCACTTTTCGACCTCAAATTTTAACAGGGACAGTTGTCAGATATTTAAAACATTGACAACCACATCAACTTTTAATTCAAAATCCACATTATCAAAAAGGATTCGCTCGATTTTTGTTTTTGAAGAAAGAGCTGTTTATTTTTTCAGTGGAGTCACTTGACATCACGTAATATTGACACTCAGTTTCAGAGGCCCATTGTGTTATCCGTATTTCATTTCCTCATGAAGAATTCAGCATTAATTACTCAAATCAAAGGAAGTATTTCAAGATATTCCATCGTGACACAATGCAAACCCAAACATAATTTCACAGTAGGTTGCATTGAAATACTTAATCATTTCAGTTACTAGACCTGAAAATTAGCAATCTTCAGGGATTCTCCTGTCTCCATTTCTCTGCTATTAAAAATTCAAAATCATACACAATCATTATTTCTTTCATGTATAGAGTTACAAAAGTTCTTATCACATGATACAAGTTTAGTCCCAATCTTCTTCATGCAATAAGGAACTTTCATTTCTTTGTCCGGGTTGACAGTTGTCTGAGTCCTCATCAACTTTCTTCTCTGACAGTAAATTGAAATTTTCAAAGTAAATATATATTCTTATATAAAAAAAATTTATATGTACTCTGTAGTTCTTAAGAAATGGTTAAGAACTGGTTCGAAAGACCTACAAAATTAGTAAGAGAATTTTGAATCCCTTTTAGGATTAGCAATAAATTATGACTTTCATGTCCAATTCTTTTAACTTGGTGTAATACATGTATGTATAAACAATTAGTTTCCTTTCTCAAGCAGTGGGAGGAACATTTATTAGATAATCATTATTCTTAATGCTTAGACTCACATTTTAAACTACTTTGTGTAACTTCACAGACAACTGGTAAAGAAATTCAACCCAAAGAAGAAGGAAGATGAACACATGTGAGTTGACTCTTCATTTTTTCCTCTTTCGATCCCTTAAAGTGACTAGCATCTATTTCCTTGTTATAATACCACCCCTGGATCAAACATTAAGTTCATGAGAATAAAGGAAAAGATCACCTGTTAAAAAAGCTCTTGGTTGTTAAACAAATTCTCCTTGTCAGTACCACAGGAATCTTTTAGAGAACAGTATGGAGAATATGCATCATGATGTTGGGGCGTAGAGAGTTAACTGTGGATTGTCAAAATACCACAATACAATTGATGATTTTTGTGCATCCAAAATTCTGTATCTATCATTTGTCACAAGCTTGCTACATATATTGTTATAGTTTATGAAAGCCATAGATCATTTGTACCATAGTTTGCACCAGATCTCATCATGTTATCTTATACTTGACAGTATAAATCATAGATTCATACTGTGGTATTTATCAAAAGGAATTAAAAATAAAATCATGTTCACCCATTGACTAACAAGATCTGATAGTTAATTCTCTCCTCTAAATGCACTATGTTTCCTTGTAGATTTGTTACAAGAATTTGGTTTAGATCAGGCTAACAGCCTTTACCTTAGTGTAAACAGTTTGATTATTCTCATCAGCTGTTTGCTGGATGATGCTTGGATATTATGGAGAGAAAATACGTGTTTATCACTTTTGAGAGTTGACAAGTTAAAAGAGATCAGTAGCTGTGGTCCATTGACTGATTCACCATTGTCCTTTATCCAGACATTTTTGTATTATAGGCATAACTTTGGCCTCTACATTTGCATACTCCACTACTTAAATGGTTAAGCAGACAGCCATGAGACTTCTACTAATGTCTTATGAGAAAAGGTTTCTATAAATTGAACAACTGAAATAGTTAAAAGAAGAATTGTTGTGGGATCATGGCTTGTGGTGAACATTTATGCTCTGACAGCCTGACTTATCACTCAGTCAGTGAACTTTTGAATCTGCAAGTTTTTTACCATTTGACATTATACAATTTGACCATTTTACACTGTAATGGATTTGAAATGACATGTTAATCTCACATGAAGCTGTCTGTTTTATACAGGTTTTTAATGACAACAATGCTGTATTTTGGATTATCATCCAAATAACAGTGGTGTCCTTGTACCTCAAACAAGACAAAGATGTGTTTGAGATGTGGGCTGATTTCCACCAAACCCCTTTACTCCCAAGAGATCATTTGCTTTCTACCCATTAAGTTTTACACTGTTTTGCAATTTTTATTTTGGATCAATTAATAATCCCCTTATTGACTTACAAAGGATATAGCATGGCCATGAAGAGATACAAAATTTCCTTGTGAGTGTTAAAAAATGTACTGAAATATTTTCAACACGAGAAGCTAATTTCATATCTCCAAGTGGCCATGTGATATTCTATTTATTTATTTATTATATGAGCACCAATGAAATACCAATCATTTCACTTAAAAATGTTTTTAAAAGTACTTCATGTGTGAAGATATCATGTTTTCATGTGAACACTCACTTGGTATTTATGTTGTAATTTCCTTTATTCTTGTCACTTGTCTGCTTGATATTGTATTGATATCAACGGATATCAACCCTTTAACCCTTTAACTCCCAAGAGTAATCAAGACAGAATTTCCCTTTACAGTATCAATACAATGTCAAGCAGATGGGTAATGAGAATAAAGACAAATATCATATAGGGGATTATTACTTGATCCAATACCAAATTCTCTAAACTACCATCACAAGAACTATATAGCAGACAGTAAGGAGAATTGCTAATGAGATCTTGGGAGTGTAAGGGTGAACTCAGGGGGTTTTAGGATTGATTTCAGGTGTTGGGTTTGCTTCATACAGGTTTAACTTCATGATTATCAGCAAAAATAAGTAATTTAATATTTCATTTTACAGATTTACTTTTCAAAAGGCTTTCATTGGTGTCGTGAAAGAGACAGATGATGTGGCAGGACAGCATGAGCTGATATCAGAGAGTTTAACTGAAAAGATTTGGAAGGAATTACATTTATTGCATAATGAACTTAAGACAGAGAGAAGAAAGGTGAAACTTTTTACACTGTAGATGTTGATTCCTTTTTTTTATAAGTTTTTGGAGGTTCTTGGGAGTAAAAATTGAAATTTGTAACAAAACATGATAGGTTGTATCAATAGGCCAGCAGCAATTACAAGAACAAATTTGGAATTGCTTGTTTATTATTTACTTTTTTTTTCGTGTTTTGTTTTCCTTTTTTTTTTTTCACCAAGTAGGAGTCTCTTTCTCAAAGACTAAGATGATACTTATTTTTACTCCTCAAATGCTCATGGAATTGGTAGAATTAATGCTATTCACATCGGTCTTCAAAATGTTCCACTTCCAGCTGCCTATACTAGAAACAGAGCACTGCATACATGTAACTGATTCATTTTCAAGAAAATAGGTTTTAAAACTTAAGTCTTTGTTTTGATTCTGTCAGTGTCATTGCTCATTTTGGAGTTAGTGATAGGTAAAAAACTTTTCAAAAAGATTGTGGAATGTGTTGTTAAAGAAAAATGCATTTGCAAATAGGTCTAGAAATGTACTGTTGGAAGCTCATTGACTCGACTTATTAAAATCTATTTTTATGATTATTGTAATTTCCAGCATCTGTCTGATGGTAAAAAAGTTCAAGAACAACTAGAACAGTCAATAAAAGCTATGGAAGTTGTAAGTATTAGTGGCATCAGCCCTTTCGTTCACAAGATATCATTTATTTAGTGATTCTCCATAGTGCATGCGATACAATTCTTAGTATGTTACTTTGAAGAATTTGGTATTGGATCAACTAATAATCCCCTAATTGATATTTTTTTTATTCTTGTCACTTGTCTGCTTGCTATTGTATGGGAATTATAAGGAGAAATTCTGTCATGGTCATTCATGGGAGTTAGAGGGATAGTTATTATAAGTTTAGGGTGTTGTCTAAATTAATAGCTTAAGCCACTTGCTATAAATAACAATTTCTGCCCCTTGCAGAGTAAAAGAGCTTATATGAAGGCAAGTGAAGAAGCTGAGCAAGCCCTTCAAGCATTCCAGAAAGCTGATCAAGACATGGCTAACTCTAGATTGCAGATTGAAAAGGTGAAATAAAGTTGTACAGTTTTAACCATTATCACTCCATAGAACAGGTCCTAATTTATCAATTGAGCTATTATTGTGGAAAAAATGCTATCTACTCAAAATCTGGGCAAAAATCCAGGGAGCTGTTTTTCTAAGAAACAGTTCGCAACTTGAACTCTTCTACTCATGGAATATTTTGACCATAACTCATTTTTTTCCTTTGGGAGTAGCCACTCTTCATTTAAAGTATCAGCTGTGTGAATGTTCAGTTTCACATCATGTGGGCTGATGTTTAAAACTGGCTAACAGAAATTATGATTTTGACTTCTATACCATGAAGTGTAGCATATGGATGTCAACAATTTCCCTTGAGAAGGAGAGCATCATTTATAAAATTAAGTATAGTTTAAGGAAGGAAAGCAAATAATTATACTCCCTTACATCAGCATATATATTTTCCAAACAAATTATAATAAACTGATCGTGATGTTTTTGCTATTTTAGCACAAAAATATATCGGTTGAGAAGGGCCAGGCATGTGAGAGGGCAAAGGATGAATACAGAAACCAACTTCAACAGACAAATAGCAAGCAAGCCTTACATTACAGCAATGAAATGCCAGCGGTGTTCGATGTACGTATGTCAGAAACTAAATTTTCTATGACACAATGATACTTAATATTAAATGTTAGATTCAACTTAAGTACGGCAATAGATAGATACAATAATAGTTATCAAAAAGTTTAGGAATATAGAAGTTTTCAATTGCTTCTGATTATTGCAATTTAATTCATTGACATATTTTTGCATGAACTGAATTTTGTCCTGTGCAAGTCCCTTAAAAATCCTCTGCTATGTTGCATTGCTAAACCAGAATCCCTCAAGCACGGAGCTTGCTGTAACTCAAATTGGGGCAGTCTTCTAGTGACCAAGTGCTTTTTTGTGTGAAGAGGATGTTGGTCTCTCACCTCAGAGCACAACACAATAATACAAACAAGAGTTCAAATCTAAACTGGCAGGTTGAAGTCTGAATCAGGCCCTTGCCGCTTGCCACTCACACACATTTTGTAATCAACTGGTGTTTTGGAATACTCTTCCTTCAGCTGTACCTCTCTTCCCTTGTGAGGAGTAACAAAAGATCTTTGTCAATCCTTTAACTAGCATCTAATTTCTCCTTAAAATATAACCCCTGAATTAAAAATTAAGGTTTGGAGAATAAAAGAAATGATGACAAACTTAAGGAGATTTTTGTTGTTAAATAAATTCTCCTTGTTAGCACCTTAGGAAATGTATAGAGAACAGTATGGAGAATATGCATACTGATGTTAGAGTGTAGAATGTTAAGAGGTCACAACAGGAAAGTAAGTTGCTCCAGAAACTGAAAAGGGAATCCCATTAGTGTGATTTTCGTATCACTTTGGAAAGGAGTCGATAACAAAATTAATTAGTTCTTAGAGCTGAATAACTCTAAATACCTTTGTTAAATCTTCAGGAACTACAGAAAATGGATGAGCGAAGAATAAAGAGAACTGGTGAATTATTAGAGGAGTATGCAAATGTAGAGGCCAAAGTTATGCCTATAATACAAAAATGTCTGGATAACATGAAGGACAATGGAAAATCAGTCAATGGACAACAGGTATTGATCTCTTTTTAACTCTTCAACTCCTGGAAGTGATTAACATGTATTTTCTCCCCATAATATCCATGTATTATCCAGCAAACAGGTGATGAGAATACTCAAATTTGTCAGGTAGAAGTTGTTGTCTTGATCTAACACCAGGTTCTCATAACTAATTTACAAGGCAATGTGTAGCAGCTAGAGGGGAGAATTATCACTCAGATCTCAAGGTTAAGGAGGTGTCCAACATGATCCAAACAGTCTTTTGCTAATTTACATTGTGCAATTCAGTTTGAAGAACATAGCTACACAGTAATATGATAATTTGATAATTTTCAATAATATGAAAAAGATGACCCTGGCTAATACCTGTACATGGCTCAAACACAAAAACTATTGTTCCTTGAAGGAGGATTACCCTGGCAAAAAAGTGAGGTAACCTCACCCCTAGTACCTCTCCTTACCTTTAGATAAACAGAACCAGGAAAAACAACAGAAAGCAGGGTTACCCAGCTATAGGTGTTTCTCCCATATCCATGTTGATAAAGCCTAGTGAATGATATTTTTTGCAACATCAGGACAGCAAACTCCTGTGTGATCACAATAAAACTGATTACAAGCCACCTAAAGATATCCTGTTTGAGGAATATGGCAGCAAACACACCCTCCCCAGACAGCCTGCTAGTGAAACCAAGGGCAAAAAAGGGAAGAGTATCTTTACTGGAAATAAAAAAAAGAAAAAGGTATGAAGCAAGCCATTGACCAGTATTGAAAATGAAATTGAATGGTCAAATGCAGTAAACTTCAAAATTAACAATTTAGTTGCTCTCACTTTGTGGGTTTATTTGCAAATTTTGAAATTCATAATAGGTTTGAAGGTATGGTATTCATTCAGTTAAGCACCCAGGGATAATTACTTGTCAAATTTTTAGACCTTGAGAGAGGGTGCCTACTTGAGATGCATGCTTATTCAAGGCTGGGCACTTATTAAATTTTCACCATTTTCAGCAGGTAGTACATTTACTTTGAAACACAAGAAAAGTTGTAAATTACCCTAAACCCTAGCTTTAATTGTGTGTGAAGCTTGTTGAAGATTGTCATTGGGGGCAAAGGATTTGTATTTATTGTTCTTTCCTTTATTAATGACAGTCCTTCAAAATTTTGACTTAAGAATCACTGATGTTTGGAACCAACAGAGAACATATGTAGTTGACATAATAAATGCAATATCTGCAGGAGATATTGTATTTATTATGTCGAGTTCAGAGTCAGCCTTGTTTCCAAGACCCTTGTCCATGTAGTTTTCACAAACTTATATAAACTCAGAGAGGAATTCAAAATGGCTGAATGCTTTTAAAAAGTGTATAATGAAACAATTATAAGAGAATTGAATTATTAAAAATCAGCTTATATGTAAATGAATGAATGAATCAAATGTCATGTTTGTGTTATTTGCCACAGCCTTCACATTTCAGCAGATAACTCAGATGTTGGTTTTGAAAATTCATAAAATCTTGCTCAACCTCATCCAATGATTGGTTATTACCTTATGTCTGACATCAAGATCTTCTTTTTCTTCAGAATGTTGATAATGGATTAGATGGTAATGATCAAACATTGACACCAGGACAGAAGATTCGCACTTCTAAAAAGAAGGTGCAGCAGTTAGAGGCACAAGTGGCACAGCTCAAGAACTCCAGGTACCCAGCCCTGTTGTCACTCTGTATTTTTTTTTCTAAATATTGTGATTTATATACTTTTGTTTTGGACTGGAGAGGGGGGGGTTCAGAAAAGTTACCCGAAGTTTGTTATTGTTGTGTCAAATTGTTCCAATCAGATATGTATAAAGAAAGTTATAGGAGGATGGACCATGAGACAGATAGACATAGATAGTCAGTCTGATTGACTGACTCGCTGAGTGTCTGAATGTCTGCTTGAGGGACTGTTTCACCCTTAAACTCCCATGAATGACCAAGACAGAATTTTTGCTTACAATATCAATGCAATATCAAGCAGTCAAGTGATAAGAATACACAAAAATATCAATCAGGGGATTATAAGGTGATTCAATAACCATTTTTTTCTAAATAAAAAATACAAATCATATGGCAGACAGTAACAAGAACTGCTCATGAGATTTAAGGAGTTGAAAGGTGACTGACTGAACTTCTAACAGAGATACAGAGAAGGATAATGAGAAATGGAGAGAGAGAGAGAGAGAGAGAACATAGACAGACGAGCACAAATACAAGCAGGTTGCTATCCTTTTCAGAAAATAGCTAGACAAAAACTTGTGATGAAAGGACGAGGAGAATCATAATTTTTTTAATTCCCTTAACCCTTCAACCCCTCAAAGTGACTAGCATCTAATTTCTCCTTACAATATCACTCCCACAAATCACACATTAAGGTATTGAGACTAAAGGAAATGATCACTAACTTAAAAGGTTCTTGACTGTTAAACAAAGTCTCCTTGTCAGCACCTCAAGAAATGTATAGAGAACAGTGTGGAGGATATGCATACTGATGTTCGAGTGTAAAGGGTTAAGGTGTGCTGGAAGTCCTCTACAAGTTATCGGCCACATTTTTCTAGTTTTCCGTCACAGTTCAGCGGTACTCATCTCTACTCCAAGTTCAAAAGAACACTGGCTTGGGTTTAGTCTTGTTCCTTTGTTTCTTTTTTTCAGGGAGGCTTTGGAAAAAATGATTGATGTGTACAGGCAGAATTCTTCACTCGGTGACCCAGCCACTATTGAACAAAACCTCAGTGATAATGCTAAGGAGCTGGATGCTCTTAATGTTGACCTCCACAGATATCAGGTTAGAGACTATTGCTTTGCTATGTTATCTACTAGACATGAGTTCTGCAGCAGACACTTTGAACCAGACCCCCCTCCACAAATATCAGTTTAGAGACTACTGCTCTGTGATGATATCTGCTAGACATGAGTTCTGCTGCAGAGACTTCTAAACCAAACCCCTCATAAATTTGAGCAACTTAATGAACTGAATCCCAACCAGTGTAGAGAAGGGATCTTCACCTTCAGTTAATTTTAAGTGCAAAAGTTCCCCTGAATTCCCTTATACTGTCAACGGTATAGTGTGATTCCTTAGAGGGGTGGAGATTACCGTAAATACCTCAAAGACGGTTTCAAGAGTTTTGAATGGTTGATCAGTTTTCATACTAAATATCTGGAAATATCCAAAATACTTTGGTTGTTATGCAAAAATACTTCTGGATCAATGTGAGTATCTTAGTAACTGCGTACTTACCCCTCCCCTAATCCAATATTAACCCCATTAACGACATTGATCCAAAATTTTGATGAAACCTCTTAATGCTAATTTCTAGTGCTACCTGGCTGCTTTGGAGAACAGAGATGCCCCACCGCCTCCTGAGGTCTACTCCAAAACTGGCAGCTCCCAATCACCACCGGCACCAAGCAGCAGTGTACCAGACGGGGCCCCATCCAATGTCCCTCCCCCTCCTGAACCTGCACCTGCACCTGCACCTCCCCCCGCTATGTTAGTACCACCGGTTGAAGAAGATGATGAGTTTGAAGAAGACGAGCCTCACTGTCGAGTTATTTACGATTTCCAAGGTAACACAAGCCTTTTCTCTTTCCTTTAGGTATTACTTGGCGTCTTTACTGTCTGATTGTTGATCAAACTCCCATTTGACTGTGTACCAACCACTCAAAACATGGTTACTGCTGTGCATGCGCAAAGGCTTCAATAAAAGCCAGTTGCTACCTATTTCACAATCGGCAGCCGCTTATGATAAAAGTTGTTAAAACCCTTGGGACGCTCTGTGGACAACGCGTTTCGAAAACTCAACATTTGCATCTTAACTTAAGCCATCCCAATTCTTTTTTCAGCAACAAATGATGGTGAACTCACCGTTGTTGAAGGAGATGAGCTGGTTGTCTTGGAACAAGACACAGATAACAGTGGCTGGACGAAAGTGTTAAAAGACGATGAGGAAGGATATGTTCCGTCCACTTATATTGAATATGTGTAGGAGAAACATGGTTCACAAATTAGTGAGTGTAACACAACTAAAATAATATTGAATGGTTAAAATTTTGGGAAAGTCCGTTGTCAATAAGAAAATGCGTCGTCATTTTCACCGCTTTCGGTTTGTAAACAGTGAGAAAGACAGCAGTGTGGGTGAGGGTCCTCCAGCCCACCACCCCCCTCCCCCCGCCACCTCCTCTAATTTGTCCTATTGTCTCTTGTATTGATTATTCAGCCACTGAATTTGGTTGGTTGTCTGCTCGCAAGGTTTGGCCGAAAACTTTTCCCGCGAAAGAAACAACCCATCAGATAGACTATATCGCACGGTGCTTAACTGGACAGTAGTGTATACCGTCATTTTACTTGAATTTGTCCTTAGACAGATGGTAACATTATTGACTGGATGGAAATCTTATGAAAATATATAGTGAAGGTTAACCATATCATTAAAAGTTTGATGTTGGACTTACTGATGCGAATTTCACGCGAAGGATATGAAAAAAAATCAATGCGTATCTGTTAGCAGAATAGAGGAGTGAAGGGGGCCTAACTCTTAAACTCCCGTGAGTGACCAAGACAGAATTTCTCCTTACTACATCTATACAATATCACGCAGACAAGTGATCAGAATAAAGAAAAATATCAATTATGGAATTACTAATTGATCCGATACCAAATTCTCCAAACTAATATAATAAGAATGGTTTGGCAGACACTAAGGAGAACTACCAATGAGGTCTTGGGAGTTTAGGGTTAATGTTAATTTTTACGTAAGATGTTGCTTAACAATGCGAAATAAGAGGTTACTGGAGGCTCCAATTGACGAGAATATTTTATTTTTCGGTCGCGTTTAAGTAGCTTTAAGTAAGTTGACAATTTATAAGGAGTATTAATCTAGTATAGCTTTGTGTTTAATATTTCTTACAATACAGGGCTTTGTTGCTCTCGAAATGAAATCAAGAAATTTTCTCACTATGGGCTTTTTTTGTTTTTGTTAACTTTTTTTTAAAGAAATACGTATGTTGTCAGTGTTATTTTCTGCACTCACTTGACAAATGTATGCTTAAAAAAATATGAGTATTTTTCTTCTCCTTTTTTTAACATACAACACAAATTAGGTGTCGGTAGAAATGTACCACAGCGTGTTATTTAGAAGCTTGATATTAGTGTTGGTGAGATAGTACTTTGTTTGATTTTTTATTGGTGTATGGATTACAACAAATTAGTTTGTTAACAAAATAAGAAATAGCTCTAGAGTATAGGTCAAGAGCGGCCGCTTTTTCGACTGTGAGGCAAAATATCGGAATTCAGTATAGGAGTAATTGTTAGAATTCAACAGGCTAACACTAGAAGTAATTAAAATTAATCGTGAATGTTGATCATGTGTCTGATTGTATTTCGTCTTTATGCATGATTGTGTACAGTTAAGGTCCCTTCTGTGTAAGCTTCCGGGTCGTTGTATTGAAGGTCGTGGTTCTTAATATGCAAGGTTTAGAACCAAGGCCTTTTTTTGTTGAGGAATGCCAGCCCCCTCCCTCTCCTCCCCGAGATTAGGGGAAAATTCTTGTCGCGTTCGGATGAAATGCAGTAGCCATTTTCTATATAGTGCACCAGGCACGGAATGGCTGGGCCGTCTGACTCGTGCTCGACATCTTCCCCCCTCCCCCAACAGATCAGTAGATCAACTATCGCACAAAAAGAACTACGTATCATCTTCGAGCGTTGAACATTGTCAAAATTAAATTAACTTGGTATTGTAGGTGCAGACAATCAAATAACATCCCAGTTTCCTTTTGCGTCAAAGGTATATTCTTTTCCCGGGTTAATTATTATGCGAGGTCCACAACCCAACCTACTTCCATATCTATGACGTTCGTAATGGATTATATTTCTCATTGCGGACTGAATAGTAATTACTAATATATACCTTTTCTTCCGAAAGCACATTAAAGAAAGAGTTTTTCTCCTCAACAGACAGCTAGACCTGAGCTTAAACTGCGTTCACAGATGTTTGAGCCCTGCAGCCATTGTTTAGGTATTTCACTGAGTCTGTTACTGGGGATGAAAGTTACGAAGGATATGAATTTCCAAGAAGTTTCTGTCGCCCAGAGAGCCCTCAGCTCTTACCTTCACTGGTGCGGCCGCCAATTTGGTCACAAGGCTTTCTCGGGTCACGCTGAGGAAATTCTTTTAAAAGAAGTCAGTTCAAGAGCCTAAGAGGTGCATCTGCACTTAGCGAAAACCTACGAATGGCGAATAAATTCAAGCATGTAGCCGGTTTAGGGCCATAGAACAGATACCTTCAATAGAAGCTGATGAAGCTAAAAGGGTCGAAAGAGATAAACCTATGGCAAAAAAGAGTATTTCGCAACTGAAAGCAATGCATGCACGCTCAAGTTAAGTTAACAGCAACTAATTTCGGGCTTACTTCACTGAGAGCTTTTTCACGAAATGTTTATCTTTGCCCCTGCAAATTAACATTTTCGGAATGAAACTGTTTTATTGAGTATTTCATGCAAATTCGTATTTTTATCAAATGTAATTCTGATAACGCTGACAGGGTCAAAGGGTACTCAAATGCTATCTTTTTGAAGCATGGCTGCTTTCACGTACTTTCGAAAATACTTATGCCGATAACATTGACATGTAAGGATATGGAATTCCAAATAATAATAGGAACCAAAACTGATTTTTTAAAATGACAGAGTAAACCGTAACACATACCTAGATAGTTTGTGTAAACTGAATGAGAAGAAAAACTGTCAAAAACCCAACCATTAAGCTTGCGAGAACTGATGATGTAATGCTCAATGGCGTCAAAAATGTCTACACCGTTGTTATCTTCCTCTGATTCTCTGTTCTTCCCATATAACTGACATTGATAAAGTTGAGTCCAGAAAATTAATGAATTTTAGTTTCAAAATGGTTTAGCCCAAGCATACCAAATGAAGCTGAGCGCAAGAGTTCAGCCACTTCAGAAACAGGAGCTTTATCTCGATCACCCCAACTCACCGGTGCACATGAACTTCCTTGCTAACTTGTCTTTCGTAAAGTATACGTATTTTGACCGACGGAAAAGGAATCCAGCGATCCACCCAAACCATCGAGAGTGTATGGTTTTCTTAGTTTTATTTGTATCTGTGTTTATTTCATTTTTTTTTATTCATCCGATATTCTTCTTTATATATCTATTAATGGTTGGCAAGTTTATCTTTCTTGCTTTCTTTTCTAGTCAACGGATTTACGTCAACAGGCACCACGAGACTTTCTATTTATTTCTGCTCGGAAAAACGCCGCGTTCCCTCGTTCAAATTATTTTTAGTTTGTTTGTGTATTGTCAAAATAGAATCCAGGGGTGTTCCGAATGATATTAGAAGGCTTTCTAGGATTACTTTTGTGGGTGTTCCAGATTGTTACAGTGTTCCCAAAAATAATACATTTCTGTTCTCGACGTAGTTCACACTAACGCGGTTACGATAATCCTTTTAAGCAGTTTAGATCACCGCCTCGGAATTTTGTTAAGGATTTACGATAAACAATAACCAAGTGGGAAAGCAGTTGCACCCTTCCACACCCGAAAACGACAAACAGTGCAAAATCAGGCAGGGAAAGCTTATGAGTCATTGTCCTGGAAACATAAGCTCAACTGCGCATAAACCGCAACTAATAGAAACCTTGTTGATCACTTGAGGCTTTTCTTTGATCGTTGGACCCCCTGTGTATAACAATTAACTGTCTATGCCCTCTTGCCTAAAACGACTTTAGCACCGAATGGAACAAGCAATATTCTTGATTTTACCACCTGTCTCCTTATCATTTGCTCATGAAGCTATTCAGTAGTAATTTGATTAGCCTGATGATCAAGCAAATTACCTAATTAAGTGAACTTTGGGACCTGAAAAGATTCAAAATTTAAAAGACGCCCTTAGGGTAAGTCGACAAACAGTAACCGTTCTGGTGTTGTTTCCATTTGCCAACCGCGCCCTCGCGTCGATGAAAATCTAAATTCGTTCGTTTCCATACGTGAAAACCCGAACATTCTCGTCAAAATTTCCGTTTGTGGCAATTTTTACGAATGATGACGTCTCTCGAACTTTCGACACGTCGTAATCAAGTGGGCAGACATTGGCGTTGACAAAGCCGTATTGTATTTCACCAATCACAAATGAGTGACAAAGTCGTGTTGTATTGGACCAATCACCATTGTTCTATTATTAACTGCGTAAACCCTTGTTCTGTGATCAATCGTGCGTTTCAATGAATCTTGTTTATTACAGCGAGCAGGGATAGATGATTTCGAATATTTCAGGTAAGAATTACTCTTAAGCTTTTGTTCTTTTGAGATGAGAAAACTTCGGGGCATCACACTAAGGTCTTCTGCTCTTTTGTGACCTATCACAAGGTTAGCATTTCGTGACACAGAAGCGGAATTTCTGTTCCACAACACCATAATTCGTAGAGAGGTGTTTTCGATCGTTCCTTGAGTTTATCTACAAGCTTTTCATACCTGCTTTAGTCTTTTCAAAATGTAAAGTATCATCTGTCAACAATTCGAACACGCAAGGCTTTTAATGTTCGTGAGCACATGTGGAAGTTTAATGTAAAACTCAGCGGTATAACTTGATCGTTTTGTAATCTCCTGTATGAATTACATGCATCAAGAGTGATCGCCAATACTTGGAAAGCCTTGTTTTTCTGATGAAAAATTTGAATGTGCCAAATCTTGTATCAAGTTAAAGAGGATGATTTCGCTGTTTCAATGAACCCTTGCGATTCGTTAAGAAGACGCGGCTATAAGTACACATTCGTCTTTATTTCGTTTACTCTGCCAGTTGCTTGTGTACTTACCTTCCATATTCTTTGTTTTAATTGATTTCATTTCGTATTCTGTATGCGCTCATTGTGTTCGAGGTATCAACTAATGTACATAATTTAGTGGTTAAACAACTCATAATTGTGTATCTGAAGAAATTTTAGAAAACTGATTTCTGCTTTGTGACAGGAGAGCTAAAGGAGCTGAGGCAATTATGTTTTAGCTATAAATAATGTTTAATAGTCTTTGGAGTACTTCATTACCTGAATTTACATGCAAATTGCTCGCTGAACATCAATAATTGCCATTCTTCGAGACGAACTCTTTTACATATAGCGCCGCATATTCCGGTTGTAACACACTATTGAATAGAGGTTACCGAGTGTAAATAACAAAATTGCCCTGTAAATTGGCAAAATTTTCGCTGGTGTCTGCGGCTTAGCACTCGGTTTCAGCTGATTGACTGGCCTTGCTGAGAGTAAAATTCTATGCATGTTAAGAGCTAAGAGCTGGTAATAGGATCCTAGGGCAGGGCAAAGTCTTGAGCTTTTTCCAATTGCAGAGTTCTTCGTTCAGTTGAAAGATGGCACCGTATACGCTTGGCTTTGGTGAAATACGTTTCCAGTAAGCACTGACAATGCATTTTAACTCGAAAAACCGGTCGAAAACGTCACTTCCGGTGGGTTAAGTGTATGAAAATAAAACTCATGGCTATTCATATTCATTTGATTTGTAGAGATCGTCTAGACAAAAATGTTTGAACACGTTTTTTGATTTATCCTCGGGGCAAGTTCTTCAAATTTCGGTGGATTTCGATACTTCCGAGTGGGACCCCACATTCGCCGGCTCATTAGCAGACTTGTGCGAGAACACTGGAAATTGAAGAAGAGACACCCAAATTAATAGACAAACATCAACATTTTTTATCGTAAAATAATCTTACTTTGGTTGGTATTGGACTTCAGAAAATGTGAGTTGCTTCTTTACCTGCTGAGAGACTAATGTTCACCAAATTATCCTGAAGAACAGAATAATTGTGTCACGTTCATTTCGTGTTGGATTAGCGATCCATGACTTTTAAAGATGATTCGGAAGGGTGTGAAATGCCATTATACTTTTCACATTGTGAGGGTGATTAATTATTTTCTGGTCATCAGCTTCTTTAGCACAATCTACATTGTTTCACTTCGCTCTCGGTTATGCCACTTTCTGCGCTCATCGGAAAAGTCATTGCAGCATAAGTAAAGTACTTTGAAGATTTCACTTCTTGACAAAGTTCCGGCCAGCGCTTGTATATTGTTTGTTTATCGGAAAACCTAATGAAGTAACCAGAATATTTACCGCGAGAATATACGTCAGAAAGTAAGTATCGGTAAACCGCGGAAGATATTTGATATTTTTTTAGTATGATTCATGTTCTTCTATATTCGCCTTACACGTGCTAAATGTTTCGTTCCTTGTTGAAGGAACCGGCCTCAACGAGTGTCGGTACGTGGTGTCTTCTGTGATAGACTCCAGGTGGAGCTTTTCATAATTTAGTATTCATCGGTAAAATCGCATTACTCAAGCATTCTTCTTGTCTAGTTTGAATATCGATAACGTTTACTTAATTTGTGGAACAGGATGCTTTTTTTTTTCTTTTTGCTAAAGAGCTACTAGTGACAATAGCAAGGATCAGAAACTTCCGTTTAGAACAAAGCTGTCTCATGAGGTTTCTTATGAGTCAAGGGAAAAGAAAATCGTAGCAGACATACAGAAGTTGAATTGCTTAAACTTTCACCTTTCAGATACGATCTCGTAATATTCTGACAGCAATGTGAAAAGTGGTCTAAATAATAGAGGAAAAATCGTCTGTGAAGACAAAAGTAATCCTGTCAGAATCGAAAGCGAATAAGTTAATACTCTCTGCTTTTTTTCCCGGCAATGTATTGATTACTCTCTCAGTCATTTCGTCGTAAGTTATGAGTGTAATTGGTTTAATTATCCTTTCTGATCCAAAGCAGAAGGTGCTAGTGTTCTGTTCAATGTGTGTACACGCGATATTCTAAAGCTACACTAGTTACCATAGCAATTATCGAGCTCCTATTTAGTTAAGATTTAAAACATATCAGAGTAAAAGACAAATAGCAAACGGGACCGTGGATTCCTGAACTACACACTGTTGTTTGCTCTGTTTTGCGTCTCTGTTTCTTTCAAAGCGGCATCTATCGACCTCTCTCGACCGTATCATAGCAGCTAATCGGTACGGTTTCAATGGCGCCTGATTAAGTGACTTAGGCGCTCACAGCACGTATTTAGAACAAGAATGCTCTGTGAATGTTTTGCTGAATGTGTACTCGGTTGAAATTTTCTTTCAGCTTCCTGATCTCCGGTTAAGAACCGCGAACGAAAGCAAGAAGTTAGCTATGTCATCGTCATCACAGACAGCCTTTCGAAGCCGGAGCAAGACTCTGCCATTGCCTTCCAGAGTTAAGATCGAGAAAAAGATTGTACAAGAGCCCAAAACAAGGTCGCCACTTCCCTTCAGAAGGTTAGTTAGGTTATCAATACTATTGTGGTGTGAACTGAAAATATGTCCCATGCAATGGTGTCGTATCTCGTAAATTTACGTGTTCTGCATAAAATAGTTTTATCATTGAATTGTTTAATTAAGATGCGCACCGTTTAGTGGTAATGTTATCTACTAATTTTACAGACACAATTGAAATACTAAGAGGTCTTGTGTATATTACGTTAGCGGCAAATCAGTTACTGAATTTCGTAATGGATACTAAACAAACGAAGAAACACGATAGTTTGCAGATAAGCGCTGTGTGTTATTAGATAAACGTCTGGGTCTTATTTGGAAACAGCGTTTGTTTCGAAATATTTATTTTATTCCCTTTCGACGACTTTCCTCGTTCCTTCCTTGGTAAAATAAACAGATTACCTTGGAAAAAAATTGTCGCCTACATCCATGTGGTTTTGACGTAGAGGTCATAACTATTTAAACTGCCGTGACTTTTTAAACTAGTTTGAAACAAATCTTGTTTATTTTGGGGACTTAATAGCCGCACTATCAATTATTTCTCAATATAAAGTTATTTTTATTTCTTTACGTGTCACACATCTGTCAGCCTTGCGTGACAACTTAACTGCACTGCACTTTTTTAACAGTGATGTACAGGATTATATTGACTATGCTCTTTTGTTTACAGATTAGCGGATCTTTTGAAAAGGAAGAAAAAGCGAAGTAAAGGAGCTTCTGATTCATTCAATGTGCCCTTAGAAAGGCAAACCTGGTTTCATGGAAAGATCACAGCAGATTTTGCAGAGCGTTACTTACGGCGAGACGGAAACTTCTTGGTGCGTGAAGACCCCGCAAAACCAGGCAGCTGTTTTATCGTGGTGCGCCACAAACGGTCAGCGGTTCACATACCACTTGTCAAAGTAAACTCGTCCAAAGGAACAAGAATAAAGTATAGGACAGAGGAATCTGAGAACAGTTTCGATTCCATATGCGAGTTAATTCACTACTATGTAACAGAAAAGAAACCATTAACCCCGAACACTTCAGCAGTAATCACTCATGCTGTCAGCCGCGATGCAACACTTTTGTCATCAGACGATTTAAAAAGTATGAACTCCAATCATCATAACAGGTATGTAACAAACACTGTTCCTGCTAATGCCTGTCCGCCCAATCCCCCTGGGACTGGTCCCCTGCGTCAAAGACGAATCGACAAACCTACTCGCAAGAACAGTGATCCCGGATTACATCTTGAGGTTAACACAAATGGTGTCAAAATGCGACATTTTACAATGGATTCTCAGGTGAAAATAAATGTTCCCTCCTCCCCAGAAAAATTATCATGGACAATTCAGCCGAAACAACGGGAGAAAATTCCCGAAGCATTCCTTGCAAAGGCCGAGAAAGAGGAAAATTTGCCATTTTATGAGACACCGTTAGGAGAAAAGAAAGTCGAGGATCTGAAGGAAACTTTACAAACGTCGGAGCCATTTTATGAAGATCCTAATGAAAAGGAAAGTTTGGAAAATTACTATGACAAACCTGGAGAAAAGGAAAAGTCACCAACGTCAGTTGATGACATGGAGAAAATAAAACCTTCTGATGAAAAAGAGGAGCTGGAAAAGAATGATGGCTACTACGACAGACCTGCGAATGGGATTAACGACCAAGATTTTTATGATAAACCGTCTCCCATAGAAAGCTCGGAAGAATACTACGACAAACCACCGAGACAATCCAGCCAAGCAAGCCTGTCGAACACTTCCAGAGAACAAAGTCAGGAAGATGTTTATGATAAGCCACGACGTAGCATTGAATGCCTGTACGACACACCACGGGCCAGTCAGGATAACCTATACGACAAACCACCCCCCAAACCAAAAAGGACTGAGTCTTTCAGGAACTCAGATCCAACTGTTTCTTCGAAAATTCCTCCCAAACTCGTGTCACGATGCAGTGCGCCTGCATTGCGGACCTATGATTCTGACGCATCTGCCCGCCGGGGTCCTTCCTTTGAAGCTCTTCCGGAGAAAAGGCATTCAGGGGCTGAGTTTTTCTTGAGGAAAGCCACTTCCAAGAATTTATCTCCAGGTGGAGTTAGCTTAGAGTCTGAAGCTTATTACTCTACGCCTCCATCAAGGCAAACAGAAAGTCCTTTGTCATCAAAATCTGACCTCGGCTCGCCTGAGAATCTAGACATATATGACGTACCAACTGAATCTGGCGCTATTTCGGGACAGGAGCTGACACCATCAAAGCCAACTGATGGCGAGAAAGAGAACCAAACGAGTCCAAACGTGGCAGATAACAGACCTAAGCGTTCAGGTTCTGTGGACAAACAGGGAATCTTTTTAAATGTGATGAAAAAGATTGGCGAGAACTTGCTTTCTCCGTTCCTAGAGATTGACTGCCTCACCCTTGCGAGACACTTGACTCGGGTGGATCTGATACAACTATGGGGCGAGGAGCCGCAACGTCAGTCTTGGAGCATTGAGGATGGCACTGGAGGAGCCAAAGGCCTGGAAATTCTTACGCTTCCTCAAGGAAGGGATCAAAGGGCACAATTACTTTCAAGGTTCGCATCTGTTAGATTTAAGAATTAGAACTTAAAATCAGTTTTGCCTAAGTTTTAGGTTACTCCACCATCCTAGTCTATCAAAAGAATGTCTTCCTTCCTAAGGACGGAAACGTTATGTGTATTGATTAAGGGAAAGACTTCGTCGCACATTGATAAGGGAGCATCTTTTACGTCCCAACGAGCACGCTACTACTCTGACCTACCTTTGTTCCTCTCATCATGTAGTTATCACTGTTCTTATCATCATGTAGTCATCATTGTTCTTATCATCTCGTAGTCATCAAATGAACATCCCACAAGTGTACCATACTGGTATCTCTACATATTTCTCTGTGGGGTTATTAAGCATCGCACTAGGAATAAAAGCTAAGGGGGGATAGAAGAACCACAACAACTTTGACAGTTAACATGACAACTTACTCTTCTCTTCTCGCCATATGGCTTATCCTTCGTTTTTTTCACCTTCGTGCATGTTTTGAAGAATTTAACTTCCCATCAAGATATAAAAAAATCAAATATATTTGAGAAAAGTAAGAGACCTTCGTCACTCTGGTTGCCATAATTTCGTTCACTTTTCAGGGAGGAAAAAATACTTAAGCTCGACAGAGTGTTTTCTTTTTAACCGTAAACCATCGGTTATTACTCTCGCCTTTCCTCTTTCTTTTAGATTTTCTAATGTGAGACACTGGGTAGCGACATTAGTCGTGGCTGCGGGTGACCTGGGCACCAGAGGCAAAGTTCTCAAAAAGCTGATTGAGTTGGCTGACGTTCTGAGCGACAAACTTGGTAACCTGGTGTCATTTATGGCTGTTATGGAAGGACTCTCCTTACCTCAGGTACTTTTTCGTCCTGATTCACCCGTTTAGTGTACAGAAGGGAGCGTCAGCAACGGCAACAACATACGAAACGTCAACGTTGACTGAAAAAAATTGACATATATTTTAGAGCAGTCTGCAACGTATTTGGTGTGTAATAAAGTTTGCTCAAAGACTGTGCAAAATTATGAAAAAAAAAAAAAGAGACTGGGAAGAAAGGAGGTTTGATAGTTTTGAAGATTTAGTGTCGTCTTATATTGCCAGTAATTTTTCATTCATGGTTAAATTCCTGTCGAATCATCTCAAATGAAAGAATCGATGGCTTAAATTACGCCCTTGGTAAAAAATATGTTGAGTTTCTTTCTTTCCTTTCTTGCCAGCTTGAGTGATGAAATTTTGTGGCCAGTTTGTGCCGCAGTCTTTAAATATTAGGTTGATGCGTGCGTGCGTGCGCGCGCGAGCTTGAGTGAGTGCGTGTGTGAGTGTGCTCTTGTGTCTCTGTTTCCTTGAATCTGTAAATCCCTAAATCGTGGTTTATCTTTAGGTAACGCGACTTCACCACGCGTGGTCTTGCCTTCATCGCCAGTGCAGTTCTACCGCGATTCTCTACCACAGCACTCTCAAGCCTTTGGCGGGGCTCTTGAGCTCAGGGGCTCCTAGCCCTTTTCCCGGAGTGAGCCTTCCTTATATCATACCCTTGGTCAGGTACCTGGAAATGACCCCGGAAGAAATTCTCAGTGACTGGACACATGCTGAGGTAGACCTTGGGTTAGAAACAATATCGGCACATTTGGACTCTGGGCGCATTCTGACGCAACAGCTTGAAGAGTTCCGCGTAGAAGCAATTAATCATCTACGCAAAGATGACTTTGTAGTCGATGCTAAACTCATTGATTATTTCCAAGAGAAAGTCAATATTGGAAATGTATTAGGACTGGGTCCTGATTCCACCAACCGGACAAATAAATTAAGGACTTTGCTGCAATGGCTCTCGGAAAACGCGGAACATCTCACTAGTGCAGAGACTTCTGGAGTGTAGAGAAGGAAACTTTGTACATTTATTTTACAAGTTAGTGTTCCTGTGATCTGCTGCTGTTAGTTCATGGTTGTTGGGATGCCATTTCATATGTTTCTGTTAGGTCGTTACGAGAACACGGTTGTCGATCTTTCAATCATGAAATGATTCTAAATTGTAATTCTGTATACTCTGGACTCTGTTTTGATTTTTTATTTACAAAGTTGGTGTTGATTTTTTTTCTTTTTTATGGCCAGAAAAGGGTTTTCGTTGACATGGTAATTTTCACATGTACAGTCCTTTATCGTACACTATGTGTAGTCATTTTCCACAGATCACAGGTTTCTTTTCGAAAAGTTTTTTTTTCTACTAAAGAAAAAGGAGAAGATAAGCGAATGTCTTTCTAATTGTAAATAAATCACCCGAATTGGACCTTGTACTGAGTTTTAATTCCGACAGTCAGAGAACTTTTCTATATATACATGAATAAAATAATTCTGTAATCTAGAAAGAAAATAAGCAATAAGAGAGAAGAAGGTGTCTCACTCTGCAGTTATTCCATAATTGCACAGTTATGCTTAGAAGAATGACTGCGTATCGGTCTTGGAAAATGTTAAAGTGAAGCCTAGAGTTGAACTCAGTGCAAATTTTGGAAACATCAAGGGTTTATTTTAATTTTTTTTTTTTTGTAAATTTTTTTAAATTCATTCTAGATGAAAGAATTTTATTTCAGTGTTGAAGTTCTAGCTTGTCTGGACCTCGACTTGAAAATTTTATGAATTCTGTTGATGCCGAGAACATAAGATGTTGTACACAATTGAGTTTTGAACCAGGTACTTGTAAATATCAACAGTTTTTGGTAAGAAGCTGAGAAGTAAATTAAAGAGCTTTGTTAGTTACCACTGACTGAATTTGATTGAAGCGATTCTCTATATAGCGTTTCATATCTTTCAACTCTGCCCTTTCATTTGACTCCACTTTTAAAATTCAGTGCTATTTTAAGCCTGTACCTTAAAACCCTCCTGTGTGGTAGTGAAAGCCATTGAAACCTATTAGTTGCGTCTCCATGTCGATCTGTTTGTTATGCTGTTGCAAGCAGTTGTTCCAATTTGTACTTTAAACGAAATCGTAGTGTGTGACCTTTTATCTCAAAGCTATTAAGCAGTGCAGTTCCATGTGGTGCCGTTTATTGGGCTCTTCATGAGATGGATGAGGGTCATCTAAGACTGAACACAAACTTAGCGTGCGATCAATAATATAACAGTGAAAACGTGATAGGAAATCCTTTTCATGTGGAGTCAATATTTGTTTTCTTGAACAAGCGGTAGCTCTAACTTTGAAGTTTTGTACAAAAAAAAAACCCCAAGTGTTCGTTTGTGTGACCATTCAAATGAATGCTATTGAGTAAGCAGTGCCTTCATGAAAATTCACCGCCCAGTTAAAAGGCTTTGTGCTGAACGCAATCCTTTACCAAGGATCTGATTTGAACATCAAATCTGCCCAACAGTACTTTCCTTTACTTTGATCCTTTTAAATTAATTTTATCACCTTGGAATTAAAACATTCGGTCATTTCAGTATTTCGCCATGCAAGAGGATAAAGGGGAAATTTTTAATTTAGTTTTATTGAAATTGGTGTGTGAAGCTTTTCTTTAACAATTGCACCTGCTGAAAGTCTCGGCTAGCCTTTGTTCTTTATACCTAGAGTACGTTTTTAGGTGAATAATTTGAGAGAAATGAAATTGTCTTTAAAAGAGCAGGATTACTCGGTAGCTAACGGTGAATTCCCAGGTTAAAACACTAAATTAATTGCTGCAACGTAGTCAAAATTCAATTTGGGACAGCACACAGTATATCACGTGAATTCAATTGTTTTTTTTTCTTCCCAGCTTAGAATTTATGATAACAGAGCTTTACGGTCTAGGTAGGTTAGAGAAAGGTTAGAATCAGGATTTGTTCTATCCATTCAACACGCCGAACCTTGAGGAAAGGGTACTCTTCGAGGTTATTTCTGATCGAAACGCTGACTTCCCTGAGAGCCTTGCACTTTTATTCAGAATTCCTCTTCGGTAAACTAGCGACCTATCGCTCTTCAAGGTCTTTTATGTTATTGTAGGAGGTATTGTCCCTGATTACAAAATGGGTGGCAAGCAGAAAAGTAAACTTGTCTAATTCTGATCAGTGATGAATAAATCACTTTTAATTGTTTTCACTGGTGTTTTTCGAAAATATGGAGTTACTGTTCTAACTGGATGGGATAAAATCATTTCAGTAATTATAAAGTTGAAGGATAATTTTCTCCTTTGAAAATCAATTGTAACTTAAGCCGCAAAAAATGAGAGGACTTTTAAGAGACTGTCGACACGGGTACATCTTTCTAGTTTTGACAGGTCTCAGAGATCGATCTTTGGATGAAGGTTTGAAACTTCATACCCGCAATTAAGCTTGTCATTAGACACCAACTAGTCGAATTGTCACTCTGTCTCTCAAAAAAAGAAGTAGCCAAGCTGTTGCACGTGCTTCACGGCCGCATCTTTCAAACTGACAAACTCGTCTACATTGAGTGCAGAAATCAACTCAAGTTTCATGGCAGACTATTCACAATTAATATTTTAACACCTCTCAGTCTTTCAATGCTTTCAACATTTGTCATTTTACTTGATTTAATCCTCGTTATCGATCCAAAACTGCCTAGAAATCGATTAACCTCATCTTTCAGAGTTTCTCATCTCCTTTACACGTGTTGTTGTTGAGATCAGTCCAGAGGAGTTACATGAAACCCTACCCACAATTCTATGGCAGAATACTCCGAAAAAAAAAAATCAAACACTTGTCACCTTTTGGCATTTCGCGCTCTTTATGTGAGACAACCTTAAAAAGTTCGCAGGGAAAAGGTCACGGTACACGATATGAACAAATAGTGAAACGGATGGGCAAAGTGCGTCACAGAATTTTGCAGGCTTTCTCCTTACAAGTTGGCAAACACTGAAAGAGTGCTATTTCAATCTAACTTTTAAAAGTTGTTTGACGTAATACTTAGCAAACTTCGCTCGGATAATTATCCCAAAATGTCTATAAATATTGTCGTAAAGCTTTCGATATTTACACTCGTTTGTATGGAAATGGCGCAAAATTAGACATAAAAACCATTTCTCATTCCGACTCAGGTGTTGACAGGCAAATTCGCGAGGGTTAAGACATAAAGACAAAACCGCTCTATTTTGGTTACATTTAAAATTCGGTCAAATTCTTGTAACTATCTGAAGACATAGGTAACCACACTCTACCTGCGGCAGGCTTCTTTTCCTTTTCTTTCGCAGAGCTTTGTTTTACAAGTTAACTACTTAATAAACTACGACAATGATGAATGGGGTTGGTAATTAAAAGAAAAGATGCGTGTTCACCTTACAACTGTATGTGTTTTTCGACTCTTTGTTGACATTTATCGATAACCAGTTTTGTGTTTTCACGTGTGCGTTCTGAAGATGTTATCTACAGCAATTAGTTAGGACGGGTTCGATGATCACGACAAAGTTAAGGAAGTAAATCCTTTCATTTACCTTAAAGTGTACGAACGCTGTATATTGTTAAAACATCATAATAGAACTGTCTACCAGTCCAACATAATTAACTTAGCCAAAGCGGTTTATCTGAATAGTATTCAATAGGAATACTATAATCATATATAAAGTCCATTATTCAAACTCCAATTAACTGCATTTAGTGTTCATCGTTATAGAGATTTCCACAGAACCGTTTTTTTTCCGATTTTGACGGCTCATTCTTGTTTCTCATTCGCGTAGACAGTGATTCCAGAGGCGTGAAGTATATCAGCATTTCACATGCAGAATTCTGGAAGATTATTTACGAGTATTTTCCCTTTTAACCTAGAAAATCATGAGGTAATGTCTAATTCAAAAGAGTTATAACGATTAAATTTCAATTTGTAAGAATTTCAATGGATTCAAGCATGGTAAAAGAAAATATATATTTTACTACAAACAGCGTTTAAATTGATTGGGTGTACCTTGCTTACTGTAAGTTGCGCTTCTCTGTGAAGCAATCTACACATCCAAAAACGTAACATTATAACAACACAAGTCAATCGTTTACAAAAGGTGGTGTCGATTCATGAACAAATCGCTAATCTCGCAATCGCAGATCTTATCTTTAAGTCATACTTGGCTAGGCACCTGAACTTTCCATTCGAACGCGCGTGGCTGATCAACAAGTTTGTGAAGTGCTTTAAAATAGCAAGTCGTAGCTTAAGGCGACATGGTCATTCTTAACAAATCAATTTCGAGCTGATTATAAATTATTACGCAATTCATAGTCACTTAAAATAGGAGGAAAAATTTTCCTGATCGGCTCAGTTATAAAACAAAGAAACGCAGAAATAAGATAGCACTTCAGATGTCAGCATTTCACGGAGACATCTCACTTCACAAGTTTCCTCCTCAAGAACTAGTTGTATATGTAAACAAAATCTACTCGATTGAATATCTTGCTAAAAGAATTCTGTTTTATTTTTACCTCTGCTGGATCCCCTACCGAACAAAATGACAAAAGCTTTTGTTCAAGAGATCTTACAGTGACTTTAATAAAAATGCTATGTTTATCGCTAACAAAAAACCAAAAACATCGAGCACACAAAAGCTTGGATAATTAGGAAAACTCTGAAATCTGTGTTTATAACGTTTAAATACACGCCAAGATTTCTCCTTTATTTAGGTGTAAAGTCAAACATTTTTGCCCCTGTTTACAAACTGATCACAGCTCCTTGACAAAAGCGATAAACTATAGGGTTCTTTTGTACCAGCATTTCATAATTTACCAAGAATCGAACACATTTATTCAGTAATGTAATGTCAATATGCGGCTCTATTAAACCTCTTTGTTTCAGATAAAACCATGTAATTCCGCTACGACCATTTTTGTTTTAAACGCCATTTAAAAAACGAATATTGAGGTGGTTAAAGAACAAGTGGCAGGGGTAGATATGAATTTAAACATGTTAAAAGTCGATTTACTTTTTTTGCATAAACAATATCACAGTCGATGAATGTTTCGTAACTCATATCCCGGCTTAAACAGTTACGCAATATAATTTAAAATTGGAAAAACTCTTTAAAAAAACACTTTTTAATACCAGGGAATGGAGCTTAAATCTTCAAAAGAACACTTGTAGCGAGAAAACTGAAATAAAATTAGTAATTGCGATCTTTGCTTTTAATGCGAGGTTGAAAAAAAACATACCGTTTCGTGAAAAAAGTTTTTTGATATTAGGCTTCTTAAGACTAAAATTCTTTAGTTTAGTGGTGGAGGCGTACAAGCAGCAATAAATCAAATAATTTGCGACTATTAATAAGCCTAAAATATCATGTCGAAAAGACATTAATGCGAACAAAAACATTCGAACCGAGATGGTTCAATTTTAACACCATTGCACTCACAGAAAGTAGACGTCGTTAACAACTTTTACCAATCATAGCGCAGGTTGTTAACTTACAAGAAACCCCAATGGTCTATTGGCCGGCTTAGCTTGAATATTCACTGTCATTAACAACAGAAGCTATTCGAACTTGTAAATTATTCATCAAAGTTTCCATTGATTGGCTTCCAATTGGTTTAGTATTGTTTCAGAATAATTTTAGGATGATCTTTCTTCAGCTGGGGGATAAGTGCTCTCTACGAATGATTATGTGCATCTGATTCAAACAAAATCTAGCATAACCTGAAAGAATATATCTTATTCCTTGCGATTTTAAGGCCTTTTTAAAACGAAACACTCTTGATTCCCGTCTGGTGTGATTCGACTTGAGTTAAATATAAAAATATCTTAACTGACAAATTGATATTTATAGGGGGGTAAACATTTTAATTTCCAACTTGCAATTTTAAACCAGTCTTAATCAATTTTTTATAATACTAATGTTAATCCTTTATCATGTTAGAGCAATTCCTTGCATGAGCAAAACTCGAGAGTAAATAAAAACGATCGAAATGAGAAGTAACAGATATGAAAAAGAATTGACGACAACCTTCCCAGAAGCAGCGCCTGAGGATTAAAAACGAAAAAACTACGCTCTGAAAGGCGTACTGTCTTGAATTTCAATGCAAAAAGACCTAAAATACCATCTGCTTATTATCGTAAACTGACTTTCTTCGCAAAAGAAAAAGTCTTTTAAACAGCGCTTGTTATCGAGTCACGTTTAGCTTCTCTTCTGATTGGCGGATGTGTTGAGGGAGGTTTTCCATAAGGACACCTGAGATGTTGTAAAATGCGACTCTACATACAATTTTTAATACATCATTTTCATGTCTCATATCGAAAATGGGTCGGTTTTTTCTTTACAATGATATTAGCAATTTTTAATGGCATTTTTACCTCAATGTTTTTATCTTTTAACAAACTTAAATTCTTTGGCGCCACAACATAAATATCTCTATTGACATCTTTATTTAAATTTTAACATTATGACCAGCGATATTTGAAAATGAACTGCCATGCAATTTCATTTTTTGCAGCTCACATCTATTAACGGTTTTAATGATTTCGAGGACAAAGTAAGACCATTAAATGAAATGATGCTCTTTTAATTTTGCAAATTACAATGTCCATTAGCGGGAAGCTAAAATTGTTCTGAACCATGACAGTCCGGTTTTATTGATAATGTTTACCGAGCCATCCCAATTTAGCTTGAGTCATAACTAAGAAAACCAAATCAAATTGAGCGCACGATTCCGAAGAATATTTATACTGATTAATTAAAAATGTGGAATCCCACTCATTTTCTGAGGAAGACATCCAAAAATCCTCGCTTAGAACAACTCGCATTCCTTACAGCGTTGTCGGTTTCCGCGCTTGCTCGCAAAAATGTTACAAATGCTTGTTCAACGCTAAACGGCGGCCTGTTTTACAGGAAGTGCTCCAAACACTGTTAAGATATCTTATAACCGGTCGTTTTATCATTACTAAAATTGTCTTATTATTCACAGAACATTAGTATTGATAGTGATGGCTTTTATGTTAGGCGTATACAAATAAAACCTCGAAGGGTATTTCTTAGACACGCGTATGGCAGGTGTCTTAAGGTCTTGCTTTGGCATTAGTAATAAAATTTACCATTGTATGCATTCAAACAGGGCTTATATTAATTTTCAATTTTCTCTACGAACGCTGTGGCTATGATGTTGAATTCATGCATCATTGCAGCTGCTCCACAGCCAAAAACAATTAGCGCCAAGGCCCTAATCAGCTCGTGTAGCTAATAAGTTTCAAAGAGAGCGAGTTGTAAGGATCAGAATTGCACGGACTTCAGTCTTCGCACACGTACCACTGAATATAGCGGTCACTCATTGTAACTAAGCCATGGAGCAATCTCTTGGTCTGGGCAAACCCCATAGCCAGTATGTAGTCAGTGATGTCTTAGGAATCGAGAGCTTGGCAACTTCCTCCTCTAAGTGTAAGCACAGTTTATCTGTCTTTATTTGAAAACAACATTAATTTTAGCCAGGGAACGTCCAAAACCTTTAACCCAGGCCTGTCAAAAAAGACAGTGTCGAATATGACTTTAACTATCTTCTAAACACTTCCCTTTATAGTCCCCTCCTTGGTTTACAGAAGTTATCAGACTCCATCGGCAGACCTCCAAGCACCATCAGATCCCCAAGGACATGCTGATGGTGAAAGCTCTGTTACAGTGAGGAGAAAGCAACGTAGAAATCGTACCACATTCACAAAGCAACAATTGCAAGAACTAGAAAAAGTATTTGATAAAAAGCATTACCCAGATATCGCCCTCAGAGAAGAGCTTGCTGCCAAGATTAACATCAGCGAGGCGCGAATCCAGGTAAATCGTTTTAACAATAATTAAAAACACCCATCTCTATGCTTGAGCCTCATCTTTGAATACACAGAGCTCATCGAAAGCGATTTCATGTTGCGTGTGAAGAAAGTAATCTCACAGAAAATATATCTTAATTTCGCCAAAAGAAAAAATAATGTATGAGATAAAACGTAAACGGGTGTGGTCGTTAACGATAGCCTTGTGTAATAGTAGGCCCATAATTGTATTAGGACGCCGGGCAAGATTATATTACTAGCGAAAATTGTGTGATCGACGATATAGCTTCAAGCTTAGTGAATTTGTGCATAATTGAATTTCTTTTTTCCACCTTTAAAAGTATGAATATATTGCCAATAACACATTACCAAGAATAAAGGCTTCACACGATATTTCACCAGTGATTTTAGCACACTGCTGCAAAATACTCTGCCAAAGTTGCAGACTTCGATGTTTTGAGTCAAGCAGAAATTCGAGTTCTCTCTCTCTCTCTTGAGTTTCGAAAAGCTGTTTTTCTGTTGGAAAGATTTTCCACTAAATAGCACACTAAAATGAGTGGAAAATTATATACCATCGATTGTCTAATGTAAGGTAAAATTTATGTCCGTGTATTTTTGATGAAGATAAGATTACTTTGAGTATTCTGCCTTTTAATAGCCAGCGCTTGATTTGTGCATCCTTTAAAAAATTTTTGCTGCAAAGTAAATGGATCGATCGATGTGCTGTTTCCTCTTCTATGAGTCCTTCTACGAAAAATTTAAACAAATTTCATGACACTCACGAAAAAACACTGAGTGGCAAATTACTGGTGACCAAAAACATTAAGTCTTTTACAATATCTCAATCTGAACCGTCTTTTCATGCTGTTGTCGAGACTTCCTGTTGCCGTTATTTTGTAACTTTTCCACTAATACGATATATACATAGCTCTTTCGATATTGAGATGTACAATTAAACACCGCGGACTTCGATCGGTCATCGAGAATGTTTGTCTTCAATGTTGTATAAGTGTATTCACTTACCCCGGCATTTCTCAGACCAAGTTCTAAACATCATTTCTATCCTTCAACTGACTATATTACAGTACTTCTGCTTTTTGATTTAGAGATAAAAGAGACGAGTTTTGTCATCCGAACACGTTTTAAATGCTTCTTTGTGGAAACCATTAAATTGTTTGTCTTTTGTTGACTCACATCATACAAGTTGGAGTTCCCTCTTATTTGAAGGAACACGGAGAAATTTCGTTGAGATTCAGCTTGTTTTTTCTCACTTTTTAGGTTTGGTTTCAAAACAGACGAGCCAAATGGCGAAAGAGACAAAACCCGTCGCAGAGTTTTACGAAAAAAGTGCGCTATCAAAGCGAAAAACTTGGACCGCACCTGCCAATTGCTCCCAGACCAAGTATTCCCTGTGGACCACCGAACTACTTCCTTGGTTTACCGGGTGCAGTTCCTGTGAGCGCCCATCACCACACATATCCAGGCATTTTGACTTCTCTCAACGCTACAAACTCTAGTTACATGTCTTCATCGCAGCTACCAATGCACAACGGTACGCTTTGGCCTTGCCAAGGCGCCGCTTTCTCAAGCCATGCCGAACAACCTAAGATGGCGCTGGAAGCGTTAAGAATGAAGGCGAAGTCACACGCCTCTTCAATGTCTGCGTTTGAATTCGTTCCATCGTACCATTAGTTCACGGCTTACGCTACCTTGCCGAGCAAGAGAAAAAATAGAACGAGAACGGTCCACCGATGTAAAGTCAACGAAGAATATTGTTTTTGACAAACAGTTGAAATAGCCAAAGATTAACTTGAAATGTCAAGGTGAAGCACTATAGAAAAGTGCGAGAACTTGGGCGCAAATAGTAGCATTTTGATATGAGTATTTCCTTTCAGCTAAGTCAGTGGATATAAGAACTCTTTTGGCTGAAAAGAGAATTGTAAAATTACCGAAAAACAATCATAGAATTCTCGATGAATTTACGATCATTTGTAGTATATTAGATTTTTATATTACAAAAAAATTGCAAGACATTTTATCACGAAAGGTTTTCGCCTTGGTAGAGTATTAAGCTTTACCCAATATAAAATAAGAACGCACTTTATTTAAGATGTACTTTATGCCTATTTGCGCTATTAGTAAATTTTCTTTTGAAAGACTGTCAATGGAAGCTCATTAATGAAGCCGTGAATACTTCCAAGGCTTTTTCGCTTCGCCCCGCCTGGAACTTACAAACCCTAAGGTGCTAACATACCTTAAGCAAGTACATTTTCAACTAGCAATTTCAATAACTGTATTATCCATAAACTAAAACAATATTAACGCCCTGGTACCACATACAAGAAGAAAAAGTGAGAATTATTCTGTAAGAAAAGATTAGAAATCACCAAAACCTCAACAGGGATGAAACTCAGTCAGTAACATTTTAGTTCTTATGAATTTTCAGGGTCAAAGTAGTGAAGTATTCTTCCTGTTTCTAATAACTGTATAGTTTGCTTTTGCGCTGAATCAATAATTTATGAAAGCTAAATTTATGCTATGGATATAAAGAGAATGGTCAGAAATACGTCAGTAACAAATAGCGTGCATGTTAATAGAAATGGAAAAACGGACAAATTTTTCTGAGATCTTGAACTCAAACGAAGTTTATCTCTTGTCTCAAAAAACAACAAACCGACACTATTCATTACTTTAAAATGGAATAACCACGTAACTTTTTATACTTCACCGACATAATCCATTAGATCAAATTTTCACAATAAAGGAAATTAAACACTTTATAGTGATGCGACCGTGTTCTCCTGAAAAGACAATAATTACAACAACATTTACTTAACGGAGGTACAGTTTTTAGTTCGTTCAGAAGTCCTCATGGATAAGTACAAACTTACACGAAAGTTTAGTAAGTTACTTTGTTATCATTAATCTCGCAAACAAGACTGAAATGATGTAAAAAGCCGGAAAAATTCAAATAAAAGTACTTACAAAACGTTATTTATTTGTAATTTCAGCTGCAGCATAATAAGTCTTTCCTTTCGCTAACTATATACGCCGCTTATGGCACCAATCTTTTGTGGTCCCCTTGCCCACCAGCTGATTTTCACCGCTCTCCTTTCAAAAGTTTAACTCTCGCTCAAAAAACCGCAGCAGTTCGTCGTTTTTGTCGGAATTCTACCTTGAGAAATACTCGGTATTTAACATTTTCCCTTTCAACAAATACCTCATTTTAGCCAGTTCAAAATGTCAGCAAGGCATGACAATACTTTAAGATGGCAACAGTTCTCAAACAGTCGATTCAAATGATTCCCTTTTGTTTTCAGTTAAGTACAGTTTTGTCGATAGAGCTCTTTGAGCTAAATAGACTGAAGATCTTTTGATTCTCTGCTCAAACAAATCAAGGGTTGAAATTTAGGATCGGGAGAGAAGTCGAGAGAAACGTCATAAACTGGAGATAGAAAAATTTATTCAGTTTAAACTGACACATTATTTCCTTCTATACAAATTCAGATTAGATTCAGCGAGGTTTTGCAGTGCGATAATTTACTTTCCATTCCTATCAAAGGTCTTTTATTTCTAATGAGGTTCAGTGTGTGAACTATGCGAATGATTTCGTTTGGGTAAATTCGAGGATAAATTTACAAATTTGCGTTTTATCATATTGACAAGTATCTTAAGCGTACTTTGTAAAGTGAGTTTTAATGGCTTGAACTGACTTTGTTTAAAAACCTTAATGACGGACTTTTCAATGAGCTTTCTCATTATTTCAAAAGCTTTCCTAAGCTGCGTTGTTTTCTAAACAAAGTTTTGTGATAAAAATGAACGACAAATTACGCGAACGGGATAAGTTATTTATTATTGTGTTTGCCTCATCAGTAACATGCATTTGCATAATTGCTCGCTTCACCTTTGGTTGACAATGAAGACAAAATACACTGCCTCATTATCTGGGCAGCCTGTCTTTGGCGAGAAAAGCAACGAATAGCGCCTAAGAAGGAAAACACAGGCTCAGATTAAACAACAACTTTCAAAAATGATTTTGAAAGCTTCGGGAGTGTTTTTGTCGCGCGAACAGAATGCAGGTGTCGCTGCCGATATAAAATTGGAAAAAAATCCATGTTTACCAACGGCTGCATTTGATTTAAATTATATCGGTCTATCGTGTGAGCTCGCTTTCTGGGTGAGTCGTGCATTCCCTTATGAAATAAGTCATAGCATAAGTATCAATAAGATATTGTTTCAGTGAATTTTAGTATTTTAACGCCGGTTAAACACAATTCTACGTGAGGAGTTCCCAGTTCTTTGACAAATCAAGTCGTTAAAACATGCGTCATACGGATAACGTTAGACCTAAACAGCAGACACAAGTTATGCTTGCCTTGATTAAACACAGAGCTAAAGAGAAAACTTACATTGTTTGCTGGAGTAATAGAGGAGGAAAAAACAACGAGAGAGAAAAAAAGCATATTTAAGCTCACGGTAATTTGCAATTTCCTCCCAGTCTAATATCATCGGATTCTAACAAAGTATATCTTAGGTAACATTAATTAAAACCTGAAAAATGATAAGAAACGGATAAAGCGACAAGTTCAGATATTAAACAAAATTTTCTGTTCCTGGTATAAGGATTTAATCGTTATCGGTACTAATAAAAGAATTCTTACACTTTGATTCAGTTTGATCTGGGCACGCAAAATGGCTAACACGACGGTCTTTAAAAACCCCCCCGTGTCGCTCTCTTTAGGACTAATTTATTTTTAATTAGAAGAGCAACGTCTAGTTTTTTTGAAACTCTAATTATGGCAAATGAGACAAGCGTCTCACTGGCGACGTGATGGGTGGGTGTAAAAAAGAAAATAATTTTTTTGTAGACATCTAATTGCTTTTTTTTCTTCAACGGATTTAGTCTAGAAAACTGTTTGCGTTTTCTGGTGTTTGGGTTTCCAGTTATATTTCATTAATATTCTTGGATCACCTTGAACGTATCATTTCAACAGAATTTTATCTGGACCTTCTTACGTTACAGTTTTCTCTCTTTCCACTTTATTTATTATTCAGCATAGCACGGAGTTTTGTTGCTAACCTAGTTTTTTTAGTAATAGGTATAAATCCGATGCTAATGATGCAAGAATGAAGTTTGACTGAGAAACACTTGACGACAAGATAAACAATGAAAAAAGTCTTAAAAACGCATTTCTAACCTTGCGATCAAAATATTTTCTCGACCTCAATACAGGTGTTTCTTTTACACCGAGATATGCAATTTTCAAGTGGTTTGATTATCCGGTGAATTATCATACGAGATGCTCTACCCGCAGCCGATTCAAAAGTTGTGAAAAGAGAAAACCGCGTCAATTAAATTTTGAAACGCCTTCGGTCATTCATATTAGAAGTGAGTTGAGTTCAGTTGATTTTCGATTGATTTATGCCCGAACAAATGTTTGGCTCGGTAGAGAGTTATAAACAACAGAAAAAATATTTAGATTTTTTGAATAAAATAAATAATGGACTAAACAGGGAAAGAAAACAAAAAAAAAACACAACTTTTCAAAGACGTGTTTTTCTTTTCAATAGAGAGATTTCTATTTTTAAAGGTAAATTACAAAAATGTCCTGAGTTTGACTTTGACCTTAGCACATATTGCGGTGTCTCTTTGTTGAACAAGATTATTTTTAACAAAGTATTTACGGTGCTTGTGTCCGTAAGTCAAACCATTAATGACTTTTATATTTTATAACTGAAACACTAGCTCGAGAACCGCGTTTAGAGGAAAGTGGACTGGACTCACCGCAGCATTTTGCAGAGTGAAACACAATCTGAAAAATGAGACAATAATTTTCCCTATGTCCGACCACTAGAAAACCTAATTCCAAATATTTAATTGCCGACCATTTTATCTGGCGTTAACTGTTTTTATCACTGTGGTTTTACGAAGTAAGAATGCGAAACACTTTGACAGCATTACATCGCTTCGATTGACGACTTCTCGCTAAAACGTTTCTATATTTATCGCAACCAGTAAATAGTGTTGCTTGATTTTAAGAAGGAAGCTGAAAGTTTTGTTCTTAGAAATATTGATTTAGACACAATATCGTGATGTGTGCACGTGGCAGTTATTACCACCTGGGTTTAGAAGACTCAGTTTCGCTCAGCCACTGGGAGTAATTTATATTAGAAATTTCTGGCAGTGTCTGTTTATCAAACGCTGACAAAATTTACTTCAGTTTCTTTATCACGATTTCTACAGTGCGTTTTAGGCCGCGATACACGCTAATAAAACATTTCTAAATGTCTATTCCAAGGCGTGAAAATATGAAAAAAAAAACTGGATCCTAATCTAAGACAAAAACAGATTTCCAGTCATCATCACCGAACCGCTCTGAAAACTAATTTCATCTGAGAATCCAAGTTTTTCGATCTACTTAGAACGTAAATGCGTCAACCTTTTATGTCTTGCGCCCGAAACAAAAGGTTCAAAATTGATTGCGAAATATCCATCCCTATTAATCCTTAGTGATATGGATAATTTACATATCATATTAAATAACTCACGTTTTCTCTCCTTCCAATATATCGGGTCGGTAGTTTGATAAATACCGCTGTATTTAGCGGTGACATATTCAATGAAGTATTTTCATTACCTGACAGCCGTCATTAGAACCCCATTGCGGTTTTCCTCACTCGCTATCCAGAAACAATTAGAGGCGGAGTCTGTTTGTTTGCAGTTATTCAAAGGCTTGTTTAATTTCAGTTTCTTTGTTGTTTAGCGATGCCTGGTCTTCAGGAAAGAGGATCAGGTGTTTGGAGATCGCATTTTAATCAAAGGAGGTGGATAAAAAAATTGAAACGTTTCCCTGTTTTCCAAGACTGTATTCCTAACCTCAGATTATGATAACAGACAAAATAAAAGTCGTGTTGATCTAGAGGGGCTAAATGTGCCTTTCATATACTGCAAAATGCCTCGGGCGACTACCAAAGAGAGATGCACTGAATAACCATTCTGACAAGTTAAAAAAAAGAGAGAGAGGAAAAAACGAGAAACTCACGATTTTACAATGACGTGATAAAACCGATAAGAAAATAGCAAAACAGGAATGGCTCTCGTGGCTTTCAGAGCCGGTATATCAACATGTCTCGAGGCGGCGATGGTGGTTAAAAAAATCCACCTGGTCCGGGATGCTTTAACATTCAGTTTTCTTTCAATGTTATCTATGTGGCAAACACTTCACTCTCCTGTGTGGCGACAAGGTGACCAATGCTTTGTGCACCGGGCCCCGCTCGAATCCAGATCTCTCTCTTGTGGAATCAGAGTGCTAAAAACATAGGGGAACTTGAGCAGGTAAAGAAAAGTTTTACCTTTCATTGCTAGGAGTTACACGGGATTTTTAAAATCATCAATTAATTAAAGAGACAAAAACAAAAGAAATAGAAGTTAAGGAATTGAATTCAACAATAAAAAGCGATCTAACTAAAGATTGACCACAAATTCGAATCAACGAAACAATTAGTTTTTTGAGGGTACCATTAATAAATCACTCGCTGCCCTCATAGTGTAAAAAAACTAAAAGGCGAACTCAAAATGTACAACCGTTGGGTAAAACCCTCAGAATCGAATGTACCAAGGTACAAACAAACACTAATATAAAGTGTACTGGACCCGATTCAATTGCCAGAAGTAAAAAACATACCAATCAAAAGTTTCTTTACATTCAGTAGTCTACTTTTTGACAGGTTATTTGTATGTATCATTAGTTTCTTAACACTTGGTTGAATTTCAGTAGTAAAAGTTGATTAAGGGAAATTAACCACCGCAACGAATATAGCCCTTAGTTGGATTAAAGTGAAACACAGCAAGATGCATTTGAATTTCTACACTCAATGAAACAAAAAGAGCGGAACTTAAACAAGAAGAGGGCCTCGTAGATAAATACAACAAGCCAGATCTTATTGGTCAGCGATCAGAGATAATGTTCTCTTTCGCAACTACAACTTTGAAA